ACACTATTCTAAATTTCAGTTGTTGAGAAAAGTAACTGTTGTAAGATTTTTTTTAAAGTCTTTCCCACCAGAGGGCTAAAGCCATGCGTTGTAAAACAATATGAAATAGTAGTCTGCCACTGAACGCCGGATGTAAAGCATCGGCTTTGATGAAGATAATTTTGTATTTTTAATTCTCTGAAGGGCGCCACCTTAATAATATGGAATTTGTAAAATAAATGTATATATTTTTGATTGTTGATGAAGCCCATCATTTTGTGTTTTCATCAGTGTTCAGAAGCAGAACAACTATAAGTTTTTTATTTTATCACAAAAATATAAAATGTATAAAAAACAAAGAAAAGAGTAAGAAAATGAGTATAGTCATAGAAAAAGTTAAAATTATAATATAGTATTTGTCAGTTAAAATAAAACTTTTTGTTTAAGTCATTGCTAACAATTCAAATTTCTCCGAGGCAATTCTAAAGTATAAATTAAGGTAGTATTGTTAAGTTGAAACACAATATTTTTAGTTTTGATGTCAACAATACAATTCAATTTTTCACAAAAACGATTGTTTCCATTGTTAAGTTCAATGTCAACAATTCAAATTTTTCTGAGGCAACTCTTAACCTCTAAATATTATTTTTTTTATGTACACATTTCTAAATGTCAGTATTCAACCACAAAACAACTTAAAGTCCTCAAATTTAGCATGAAGTTGTAAAATGTAATGAAAGAGGGTCATAGCAATAATGAAAGTAGAAGTAAAGTTAGTACTGTAAAATTAAAACAATATTTTTAATCAATGAGCCAAGTTCTTCAAGAAGCAGTTGTAGAAGTAGGTTGTTTATTTAAAACTTTTTATAGAATTTCTTTAAGAACACAATTGTTAATTTGGGCATTTGGCGATACAACACTTTTAGAATTGAAGGATTTGTTACGTCAAGCGCTCAGGTATCATAATTTTGATCTAGTTGCGCTTCTATGTCATTTTGATTTATGTTGCTAAGTTAACTTTCAAAAAATTCTATGGCTGGCAACAGCATTTTTATTTTTTAAGTTGTTTATTTTTATTTCTTTTAGAATTCGTTTTTTTTTTAACGAAATGTTTTTTAACCTAACAGAATTCTTTGCTGACTGTTTTCTCTATGAATGAAGAAAATAAAGTAAATATTTAACTGTTGTGAAAAGAATCTTATTTAGTTGCACAAAGTACTTCAGCCAAAATTTGGGAGCCACGTAAGAGAATTATATATAATAGATACCCAATTCACTTAACAAAATACAAATCAACTCCACTCAACCTCCAATTGTCATTACCTAAAGAGAAATCAACACAATCTAACTCTAATGCCAATTACCTATCGAAAAGTTTTACTTATATCTCCAATTTCTATATAAACTTGATTTTCAAGATTTAGAAACGATGCTATTTGTAAATTGTTACAAAAATATATATATATTTTTTTACAGTTTTTGAACTGTAAGCGGTAAACGGTTTCAGAACAGTAGAGGAAAAACATTTTCACCACGTGAACATAACTTCATGCTTAATTTGAGAGACAGATTTGCTTCTGATTATATATCTATTCTATATATATATATAAAAATCTCTTGTCACAGTTTTAGTGGTTAAATTCCTCCTAAACGGCATGACCGATTTTTATGAAATTTTATATGTATATTCAGTAGGTCTGAGAATAGGTTTATAACAAATTTTTTTTTCATTTTTTGGACAGATTTAACGTATATTTTAAATATATCTTTATTTAATCGTATTCGGATCCAAACTAGACACAGAAACATAATAAATCAAAATAATATTCACGTACGTTGCAACAAGTCATATTAAACTCTAATACTTATGCACGCTCTTAAAAGAAGAGCATATTTGCAAGTATGTGGATAAAAGCAGTGATATAGCAGTATTTCGCGGTGAAAATACCAATGTGACTGCTCTTCCAGTGAATAACAACGACGAAATAACGCTGTACCAAATAGACCGGTACATCAGCTCCAATGAAGCTGTTTGGCGTATCTTTGGTTTCCCAATTCATGAACGGGATCCAGCAGTTATTCATTTAGCCGTCCATCTTGAAAACGGTCCGAGCGTATATTTCACGAACAAGACAGCGATTGACCGAGCTATAAATCCACCGAAAACATACACTTGCCAAATTTTTTGAATTGGGTAATCGTACGGATGCTTTTGGTGCCTTTGCACGGACATTACTCTACTCAGAAGTACCACCCTATTTCACACGGGTTAAAAAAAAATGGATAACCCGCAAGCAAGGCACACCGGTGCATGTCCCGGTTTATTCAAATCAAACGCCTTGGGGAGAATATTTACAGTCAATCCAAGGCAGACTGAGTGCTGTTATTTTTGACTGTTGTTGGTTAATGTCGCTGGCTGATTGTCATTTCAAGTCGATGGACATCAGCATCCAACGTATAAAGATGCATACTTTGCACTCGGCTTGCTGGAAGACGACAACCAGTGGGAATGTATGCTTGCTGAAGCAGCATTGAACAGTACTGCTAAGAAAAATCGTCCATTATTTTCTATAGTATTAACAACATGTTTCCCGGCCCGTATAGAAACGTTATGGGATAATCACAAAGATTCGATGACTGATGATATACGGTATCAACATCGCACACGTTGCAACGATCTAACAATAGCATTCAGCGATGCTATGTACAATGAAGCACTGACTGCTATTGGGGATCTTTGCATTATTATTACCAACTTGCCACTCAGATTCCGAAAATTGATATGAAATTGAAACCCATAAAATTCCGATAACTTCATACAACATTCCACACCATTTTTCTACATTTCCAGACTCAAACTTTTCTAGATTCACCCTACATTATTAAAATAAAAAATAATCAATAATTATAAAGGAAAGGCGATTAATAAGAGATAGTTCTGCGAAAGCTACCTTCGTAAAAATTGCCAGATCAAATTACGGTATAAAGTACCAGCACTTTGGGTGCATCATCCGTAAGATCCAGTTTCGGTAAAATCCATTTTTCCATCAAATATTAAACCGTGATTTTTACACCAATGTTTATTTAGTTAGAGGGATGATTTTGATTAGATTAGAAAATTAATTAGATTTTTTAATTCCGTAGCATGTTGCGATAAAAATGGATTTGGGCTAGATAATAATAAAATGACACTAAATTGTACCGAATAAAATGACACTAAAAAATTCCGGCATTTAAAGTGCCAGTACTTTTTAGTGTGATTTTACTCGGAATTTCTTAGAGTGGAAATGTATTCAAAAGTGATGGTGGTTTCAACTAAATGCAACCTAAAACACATATGAAAGTAGAGTAAAATTTACAGTGAAAAAGAAGAAGCATCCGGTTGACTGGAATACGAGCTCACTGAACAAATTTGCTTGTAAAATTGAGGTAAAAAGTACGGTACACAAGGTAGCAATACTTTATACCAACAAATTGTATGAAACAAAATAAAATCTGATATACCGAAATTTTTACAGTAACATTTACTGAATCACTCTAATTAAGTAAACTTCACCGTAAAAATTACGATTCAAAATTTTACAGTAAAAATAGATTGCACAGTAAAACGTACTGGCATTCTGACAGCTGGTGCGTTTTATTGTAATTATGAAAAGAGTTTTTACATCGAAGTTGAATGTGAAATAATTGCCTTTGTTGAATTTTTTCGTTTGGCTTTGAAGCATATTATTTTTAATCAAATAGGAGTGAAAACGTTTAAAGGTTTTTGGTTATGTACTTCTTTCTTATAACAATTGTATGTAAATAACCTTGGTCCAAGATTATAACAATTAGAGCTGACGTATTTGATATATTTTTGTACCATCCTGATATTATACCAACGTAGTACATATTTTCTTGGTTTTTAATAACTGTTGACAATTTTAGTTTTAAGATAACACTACTCTATTTCTGAGTTTTGCAATTTTAGTAGGTCTCTAATGATTTACACCGGACACAAGATCATTGGATATAATAATAGTTAGCATCAAGATAATTGTTATGTTCTGATTTTATTTTGTAAAAGAAAGTATCACAAAATAAAGCTTTGCTCTTAAGCATCGATTTTTGAAGGCATGCCAATTTAGACAAGCGACGCATATTTGAGTAAAAACATTTTTTATGTTCGGTTCTAATGGTTTAGGAGAAAAATAATAATTCAAGAGAAAAATTGTATTTCACCAGAAAAGTAATAATTCTCAAAAGTATTTCAGAACATTTAATTTTAAATGACAAAATGAAAGAAAATTAATATAGACAGGGAAATAAAAATAATTTCTTTTTCAGTTTTATTACAATAGAAGTTCGTTGTTCGAAATTCTTTATTGCTGTATTCTCTTTTCCAATAAATCAACGATATGGCAAAGACTAAAATTCATTTTTCTTTCCAAATAGTTGTTGTAGCTGATTTACGTCACACATGTGCTGAATATGGTTAAACAACCAAAGGAAGGAAGAAAAGAATTATTTCTTAGAAATTGTTAGTAAACTTAAAATTAAATATAGAAGAATAGGTCAGGTAGAATAAGAAAAAGTCAGTCTTTACATTTTCTGTTATAATTACCTAGTTCTTAACGTTCTTTCAAAGTAAATGCTCTACTACTATGGTAGTCATTTTTTCGGAATGGAACCCTAAACCCCGAGAATGGATATATACATTGTAAATAAAAGAAAAAAATTTAATAATTAAAATTTTAATAATTATTTTAAAAATATAAAATGAATGAATAAAAAAAAATTTTTTTTTTGATCGTTTCGTTTTATCAAAATTATTTTGTCAGAGAGGTAAATTTACAGGTGTAGAGGGGTATATATTCTACAAATTTGGTTTTAGTGTGTGTATAAATTGAATATGCATCGGCTAAAATTTAGTTTTCATTGAAATAAAGACAAAAAAGGACGAAATTAAATGTTCAGACCGTTTATTCATGAGAAATATTTTATCATCGTAGAGTAGGGCAAAACGAATCATCAAAGTGATTCGAATCAATCAAATCAGTTCACTTTGATGACTTAAATCACTTCTTAATTTGTATCACTGATTTGAATCAAATACTGATTCGAATCACTAATTCGAAGTAACAAGTAAGCGATTTGAATTAACATTCAATAATGAAAGTAGTTCGATAATGAAATTGATAAAAATGTTTTATCGATAATAAAATTGACTTAAAGTATTTGTTTTTACATTTTTTCGGCAGTATTTATAACATTATAGTTGATTTTCGTTGTATTTTTACTCTAAGTAAAACTAAAACTCCAAGCGATCCCTAAGTAAAACTCCAAGCGATTTTTTTTTCAATTTTTACTTTTCTGTCTTTGCAAGCAGGCTAATTAAATAGTTTAAAAAAATTAAAATATGAAAGAAATAAGAGGCTATTAAAAGAAACTAAATTTAATTACAGGTTTCAAAAATCATAGCTTATAGAAGAAATGCCCTAACAGTTCGAACCCCTTCAAATCCTCCATAGAGCCTTATGATTCCGCGAAATATTATTTGGGAACTGCTGTTCTACTTAATTCGGAATTATAATATTTTTTACGCAGTTATAAATGTCTAGTTTCCCCCCCTCTTTTTCTTTCTGATGCAGATAAATATTAAATTTAATAGAATAATGAATGAATCTATACTGAAAATAAATACATAAAAGTGCTGCATGAATATCATCCATAAATGAAAGAGCTACATGTGAGTTTTGTTCCATACTTCCTGTCTGGCACTTTAATTGTAAAATTAATGTCAAATTTTCACTTTACGTTTCATTCTGCTTTCGATAGAGCGTGTATTTTGGTAAAGAATTATATAGTTTTTGTAATAAATCAATCAAGTGAAAAGTGCTGTTGTAAAAAAACTTTGTGCTCATTTTTTGCATTTTTGATACAAATATTGCTGCTCAGTTCATGCCTTATGGGATGCGGTTGAGTAGATAATCAGATAGTCTATACAATAAATCAGATATCGATATGACGGATGAACCAATCCAAATTCCTAAGAATCCACCAATGTTGCTAAACAAGTCAATCGGCTAAAAATATTAAGAAAAGAAGAGTATTAAAATACATTTTATGAAAAATATAATTACAATGTTGGCATATACACTGAGTGGTTGAATTATTATGAAAAGCTCCTCAATACACCGTTGGACCACCTTTAGATCGTGATACTGCTCGAATTCTTTTTGGCATAGATTCTATAAGATGTTGGTAGATGGTAGGAGAAATTTGACCCCATATCCGATGAACTGCATTTTTCAGTTCCGTTAGATTATAGTACTGGATCCAGCTGCCTGATACCCATTCGATCTCATACCACAAATTCTCAATTGGATTGAGATCTGGGGATTGTGCGGGCCAATGAAGCTGTATGACAAGGAGCATTGCTTGCTGAAAATATCCATCCCCGGCTACGTTGACCTTTAACATTACAGGATTTACTTGATCTGCGATAACACTTATATACCCTTGGGCATTCAGACGTTGCTCAACAGGAATTAAAACACCGATGCATTGCCAAGAAAACATCCCCCAAACCATAACATTGCTTCCACCAGCTTGAAGTGTTGTGAAAATGTCCTGGGGGTCCATGTTTTCTTGCTGTTTTTGTAATATTCGAACCCGCCATCTGCATGGTGTAATTGAAAACGTGATTCATCAGACCACATGAGCCCTTTTCACTTAGTTACTGTCCAATCTTTATGCTCAACAGGAATAAAAACACCGATGCAATGCCAATAAAACATCCCCCAAACCATAACATTGCCTCCACCAGCTTGAAGTGTTGTAAAAATGGCCTGCGGGTCCATGTTTTCTTGCTGTTTATGCAATATTCGAACATGCCATCTGCATGGTGTAATTGAAAACGCGATTCATCAGACCACATGAGCCCTTTTCACTTAGCTACTGTCCAATCTTTATGTTCCTTTTCAAAGTGGAAACGCCTGCTCAGATACGTTCACAGTTGCCCCTTCTTTAAGAGTCCTCGCTATTCGACACTCTTCTGTTTGATTGGGCAGCTCTGTCAAATCTTCTCTCAGCTCGATCAATAAGTAGTCTGACATTTAGACTCGGTTTTGTGATTGGTAGTTCACTCTATGTACGCATTAATAACTGCTACTCTCGAACACTTCACTAGAGCAGCCCTATTGTTGATACTGGTTCCGAAATTTCACCTATCGCCTACAATCATCCCACATTAAAACTCAGTCACGTTTTTTGCATATATTTTCGCGTTTAACATAGTGCACTTGATGCTTCACTTGCCTTGCAAACCCTTTTCGTAACCATCTCGCCTTCTGGCGGCAACACTGCTACTTAATAGCTCATTTTGCATAAAATTGTCAGGTTGTCATAATAATTTGGAAACTCAGTGTATATTGTATTGAAAATGGTATTGTTAATAATTGAGCTTTTCTTTCTTGCAAAATAGTTTTTTTAATGTTAAAAATATTTTCAATTAAAAAATATTCACTCGTTCTATTTTACACTTCGAAATTTTTATTTTCATGAATCAATTAGAAATTGCATGTCATATATGCAATATTTGGAAACTTCAAAACAATCAATAAATATTTTAAATATAACAGAACTTTCTATCACATAAATACAAATACAACTTGCTTGCATGATGTAACTGATATTAGCCAAATATGGATCTTACTACTTAAGGCAACTTATAGTAAAAAAAAAAGATGTTGAAGTTTAATTGTTACCCCAATTTTTCGGCTAAAATTGTTCGTCAGTACATAGTATACTTAACTAATTATTGAATCGCTCAAAATTTCTGATGATTTCCACTTAATATCAGTGAAAATTAGGATTAATCAGTGATTTTCCACTTAATATCACTGAAAAAAGAAGTGAAAAAAAAATTCTGAAAGTAAGTGTTTTGAATATTTTTAAATTTCCTTTATTCTCTCAATTATTACAAAAAAAATTTTAAAATTCGAGATATAATTTTATTTTAGTCTTTTTCTTTAAGTGAATGACACATAGTTATATTTTAAAGGGAAAAAATTTTTAAAGTAAAATTTCAATTCAATTCAAATGTAAATTAAAATTTCTAATTATGTAATGTGGTTTTTATTATATAGTTTTTATTATATAGTTTCAGAATATACATAATGAATAATAATTGTGAAATTACTAATGGCTTACTTATCATTTTTTAAACATGTATTAAAAAATGACAAATTCACTTGAATTTTGATAAAATCTCAATTGAATTTGCTCATTTCTAAAAAAAATTAGGAATAAATTTTGAAATTCAGGACTTGACAAGGATTAATGCAATAAAATTCGTTAGTAAACCCATTGTATGAAGGAAAGAAAAATATATCAATAAAAGTTGCGATACAGTATTATTCCTTATTTAAATTTGAATTATTCAAAAAAATCAGCTGAACATAAAATAAACTTCAGAGTAAGAGTTACTGATTTTCGGATGCTATCTGATATTGGGTGCTACTTGGGTTAGAATCTAATACCAGTACTACGATTCACTAGTCCTAGTTAGATTAAGGCATTACTCAAAAGCCAGGGCTCGAAAAAACTCAGAAATTTTACCCGTTGCCGTACGGCTTGTCCAACTATGTACCCGTCCTCCTTTGAAGCTAACCCGTAGCTTCTAAGTAAATAAAAATATAATTTTCTCCTATTTATTACAAACATTTATATAAATTGCACTATGAATTAGTAATTACTAGGATTACAAATACTAGGATTACATTATACAGTAATAAAAGAAATACTGGGTTACTAATAGTAACCTAGTACTTATTTCTTTTATGAAATATGTCTGGTATGTCAATTTATTCGAGGGTACTGCGTTTTTTAAATGAATCAAATATGACGTTCGCCAGTTCCACAATTAAGCCAATGATTTACATAGGTTTCTGCACAGAAATCTGAAAGGGGTTTTCCATTCAGGTAGATGTTTATAATTGCGTTTAACTCTTCTTGCTTAAGACCAGTACGTAATGTGTTTTTTGTAGGTTTATTGCTGAAAAGCCCCTTTCAACCGCTGCAGTACTCCCAGTCAGAGAAAACATCAATTTCACCATGCGCAGTATGTTGCCGTATTTCTGGATTAGAGAGTCATTTTAAAAGTGAGGCGCTAGACTCTTGTAAGATAACAAAAATTGAAAATGTATCACGAACATTAACGGGAAAATGGCCGTCCGCGCGGACGTCGGATTCGAGAAATTAGTTGTCCGCGGGAAATGTTTGACCGCCGAGGACGGGTGAACGGGCTGTTTTTCGAGCCCTGTCAAAAGCTTTTTGTCCGTGAGAAGCAGTAACATAGAAATCATTAGAAATATATACTCTCCAAGGGTATAAAGTGCAAAATTTTTACTCCCTTGCTTTTAGGACGTTGGGCCCATGTCTGAGAGGTTATGAGTTCGATCCGTGCCAGCCGAAGATTCCCCCTTTACAAAATGGTGACTGGTGCACTCTCATTCTGTCGGGGCCACAAAGTCCTCCAAGTTCCCTAACAAATCAATACCTCTGGTGGTAATGGATTGGAAATTGATCGCGCTCTGGATCTGGTCAATATTACGATCCACGGATGGATGGTGCGTGAATGAGTTCCCCCCCGTAAAACTGGATGTGAAGTATGTATGTTGTCTTTAAATGATCCTCGGGATGTTTCTCAGACCGTCGCCAATAGCCCATTGTGCAATGTCAATAAATGCACTAGTATTAAGATCTTTGTACTTATACTTGGTAATCGTCTTACTCATTAGTGAGAAATTGTTTCTAGTGTATTTGTATCCAGTAAAAGCGAAAGGTGGAGTGGAGTAATAGTTTATTATAATGAGGATTTTATAAATATGACTATTTGTTATTTATACCTTTTTAATTATGAAACTCAACATCGAAACCAATATTTTTAATTTTATCTGATTAAGTGTGACGAAATGCGTAAACGATAATACCTTACTTGTCGATGCAACAATGTCCGACATGCATACAAAAGTATACAATTTTTACAGAAAAATACCAAATTTCATAGCCTTGTAAACTTGAGCTCAACCCTGAAAACATGAGTACTCATGGATCAAGCATCAAAACAAACATTTTGAAATTGGAATTCTTTTGTCAGTTCACCGTGTGCAAGTTTTACCTTTTTTATACATAAAAATATTACGTACCACCATTTTTGGAACAAACTTAGTAATTCTACTCTTCATATTTCTGAATGATACAGAGACCACTGATAATTGATCACTAAAACAGTAAATAATAGTGAATGTTATTTTCATGAAGGTACACGAGGAAAAATATGGAACATCTTTAATAACTTTTAATCGAATGATCATATTGTCACACACTGGAACTCAGTCGTAATGATTCAAAGTTTTGGCTCTAAACCCACAAATTAATTAATTTTTAATCTTTAATGTAGAAGTTGATACCTTTTTCTGACCAAAATTTTTCTTTAATTGTCCCTTTCAAACTTTTAAAGAACCGAATTGGGAGTAAAATATTTATACGCAATTCACACGTGTTTCGAAATGTTTAAATTTCTGCTTAATTTTCATTCCTTAATCTGTTTTTAATCATTGAAAAGTAATAATCGCATACCGAAAACTAAGCACATTACGGTAATGTAAAAAATCTCGAAAGCAAGATACGACATTTAAAAAATAATAGCAATAATAATATGAGAGAAACAAGTAAATAAAATATAGGGAGTGTCGCAGGATTATTGGGAGAAACTGCAAGAAGAGGTAGGAACATCACAAGGATTCTGAATTATCAAAAACTAGGGCAGAAGCGTCTTCGTTTGCCGCTAGGTGTGTTGTTTACAAGAGCTTTAACGAAAACAGATCTGCATTATCACGGTATCCAAAAATTCTGATCCATGTTGGATCGCTCGTGGCCTGCGCTCACTATGCTGAGCACGCAAATTGTGAAGCAAATAAATAAATATTCAGCTGGCGGACCGCACCCTCTCTGTGGGATATATATATATATAATAACAGGGCTACATCTCTGTTATCATTGGTGTATCCATATTAAGAAATGCAGTTGAAAGCAGTGATACGTTATAAAAAGCTTTATTTAAAGATAGCTGGTGGTTACAACAGTTCACATCTCCTCTCCACACAGGAGGGGGTGAGGACAAATCTCCAGATGGTTATTGGAACATGTTATTCAGCAAGATACATGCGAAAACGTTCGCTCTCACATTGAATACTACAGATATTGGTGTACTTAGGTCCCAGTCGCACATGCTTTTGTAACTCTACGCAATATGGAAAATAATTTAATGCTTTCTAATATGGAAGTGAAAGAGGAACAAGATTCTAAAAATAACTCCTCGTTTCAAATATAAATCTAATTATTATTCAATGGTATGTTTTCAGCCTTGAATTCCCAAAATAGAATAGGTGTTTTTAAAAAAGTGCTTAATTTTCCCCCTTTTCAAAATGAGATTTTTCCTTTACTATGTTGATTTTCAATTCGAATTATGCAAAAAGACTGAGTTCACATTGTTCTATTAAACGTTTTCACAATTAATTCAACCCTCGGCACATTGTCAGTCAGTAGCGTATGAANCAGAATATATATATATATATATGACGACTATGTTGCATGTCCCAAACTCGCAAAAACGCTGCCGGACAGGTTTTGAATTATTACCAAAATTTTCAATACGTACAGATCTTTGACAATATTGCTGACATCCCCTCTTGAAAATATTTAAAATTGAATTCAAAATGTACTTCCATTCGGGGAAACTTGTTGGCGATAGCTACACGGTTGAAAAGATTGGGTTTATCTATCATTTAAAACTAATTAAGATGTTAGGATTTTAGGAGTGGATTAAGAATTAGAATATTTAAATACAGTTTTTTTTGTGCATTCAGCTTGGTTACAAATGAAATTTAAATTTGTAAGCTGTTCAAAATAATTTTGAAGGGTGACTAAGTTGGTCGCGAATGGTGGCTAATCTAAGGAATACATTTAAAATAAATTGTTACTTCACTGGTAGAAGACAGCCGTCTCTTTGCAGTGTTAAGTATAAAAATACAATAGTCAAATAATTTTCATAAAATTTTTATAAGAGTTTTTGATGTATTGTAAAAAGCAACTGAATAATCTGCACTTTATTTAATTAAAAAAGAAAACTTACTAGAAATATTCATAAGAGCGGTTGTCACCTTTCTCACTTCTGTCATAAACCTAAAATTGAAATAATGTGTTATTCTTTATCAAAGAAGATGGTCAGTTCACTTTTTATTTAGGATGCAGCTCAAAATTCGAGTTTTGTAAGATGTAGGTACATGGCTCAAAATGCATGGTTAAGAAAATAAGTACAGGAGAAGTTGTTGTTTTCTATGTTCAACCCAGATTTAACAATTAAACAAGGAATTTCCTAGTTACTTCTCCTTACTTTTAAAAACACTAAACATAATTATTGGGGGGAGGGGGTAATTCCTGGGTTGCGGGGTGGAGGTGGCTAAGTAAAATGCAGGTTTTATTTTTCAGTTGTCTCTTCGTATTCACAATAGTAAATAACGGAGTGTTTTTAAGACATATAATTTGATGCAGCGTCAATTTAATAGCACTATTGTAAATTTTTTGGTACCTTATAAAAATAATTGTTGACATTTTAATATCTTTTCAATGAGGACTAATTTAAATTAAGCAAATAATTACGTAACATAATGAATTTATTGGAATCTGTTTGATTATTCTTCGAAAAAAAGAAAAAAAAATCATAACAGAAGTTTAAAAAAACGAAATTATTTCTTAAATATTTCTTAGCCATTTTCCCACTTTGAGCTGCGTACATTTTCTTAACACGCATTTCAAACTTGTACCATTTTCCTAAACGGACATTTCCAGCTATGCCAACACGCATTGCGAGCTGTTTTCATTTTCTTAAACACGCATTTTAAGCTGTGTCAATTTACTTTAACACAAGCATTTAGGGCGGTTTTTATTTTCTTAAACATGCATTTTGAGTAGTGTCAATTTATTTAAGTACGCATTTCGAGACGTTTCTATTTTCTTAAACATGCGCAATTTATTTAAGTACGCATTTCGAGACGTTTCTATTTTCTTAAACATGCATTTTGAGTAGTGTCAATTTATTTAAGTACGCATTTCGAGACGTTTCTATTTTCTTAAACATGAATTTTGAGTAGTGTCAGTTTATTTAAGTACGCATTTCGAAACGTTTCTATTTTCTTAAACATGCATTTTGAGTAGTGTCAATTTATTTAAGTACGCATTTCGAGACGTTTCTATTTTCTTAATCATGCATTTTGAGTAATGTCAATTTATTTAAGTACGCATTTCGAGAAGTTTCTATTTTCTTGAACCTGCAATTTTTAACATGAAAAAAATAAAAAAGGCCACTGACAGCATTATCTCACCAGAAAAGTAAATGTGAGTAATTTTTCGTAAAAGCCGTAAAACTCATAATAAGATTTTTTTCTAAGATTGTTGGAAAAGAAATTAAAGGAACACAAAAATATTAATTTTATTGAATTTTAAATTCTATAAGAAACTATTTAACTAAGAAAAAAGTTTGTATATATATCGAAAAAGTACGTGCAATTTTCGTCAAAAACATAGTAATTGTTTTTCTGCCAGTTTAAGAGATTGAAGAGCGATCATAAGAATATTTAAATAAAATTATTAGTTCTAGCGTCAAAACGTTTGACAGACAGTATAAATTGTATAATAAGCAACGAAAGGCTAATAGGTGTTTTTCTGCTGTTGTAATAGTTTAAGACAGCAGAATTGAAGGAGAGAGAACAAAACAAAAATATATTTTTAATATATTTCAAAAAGTCTTACAATAGCTATAAATTTTTAGACAAAAATAAGTTTCTTTTTAATTATTCAAAATATTAATGTCCTGCTAAACCTTTTATGAACTAGCAAAATCTGTCAATATTTGCAAATTTAGTTTGTAGTTATTTACCGTGTGGCCAGATGAGCAAGCCACGTAAAATTAGCGTGGCATTCAACGTGTTAAAAAAATAGGTATATTAAGGGGACGAAAGTTAGTATTTAAGCAGTTAACCCCCTTCAAAATTTTTCGAAACTGTATTGAGGAAGGCGGTATTAAAAATACGAAAAAATGTAACTGATAATTCCGAAGGACACAGAACATGAAATGCGAATTTTGAAACACTTTCAAGTTTTATTCAACAATCAAAATAAATTTAATATATCTAATGTCGCTTTCTGCAATAACATTTCGCCAGATTTCAAATAGAAATGATGATAGTTTTTATTAATCTAGAATTTTTACCCGGCTAAATTTATACTTCTTTACTTTAGTTTTGGCATATATATTTAAGAAATATTTATTAGGTATGGTGATTATGTTTGTAAATTGTGCAGAATACATTTGCATTTAAGTATCCCAACAAATTAAATATCATATTCATTATAAAGTTAATTTACATTCAACACATTTTTTCCTAGAATAAAGATATACTATTGCAGAGATTATTTTGAAAATGTATTATTATTTTAGAAATGAATTCCACACTTTTTATAATGGCAAAGATATCGTACCTTTTTTATGTTCTCCATATGTTTGTATTTGAACATTCGAGACCTGCAGAATAATTTTTGAGATATTAAATACAATTGAAAAAGCTACAAAATCAGACTCAGAAATATGAATTTTCTGAAGGAATATAACTCTTTTCTCCCCTAAAGTATGGGGATAACTGCTATCTGGAAATAATGGCCTCAGAAGCTTTTAATGAAGAGCAGTAAAAATTTAAGTCCCCTTTTATATTAATTAATTTTTTTAACATAAATGGTATCAAAAGAGTCTTACTTTTAAATTTTAGTTTTTCAAGAGTTATTTAGTCAGTTTTGTTCAAACTTTGGGACTTGTCATACTGAACTACATTGTCAAAAGTAGTTTAAAAATATGAATACCTTTAATAAATATGCCATGAACATTTTCCTTCATAATCAGGAATAATATATAACATAAAATTACTTACATGCAAGGCAAAACGCTGCACTTTTTATAGCAAATTTCTTGATTTTCTTTTGAAACTTTTACATCTAAAACACAATGAAATATATTTTTTTTGCAAAGTAGCAATATTAAATGATGTTAAAAATTCCGAATCCGAGAACACTCTGAATAACCAATCAGTGTAAAGGGAATTTAGAATAAGATTTTGATGAAAATTCGAAAGAGTTGTCAAATAAAAAATGTTTTGTTCTACTAATTTGATTGTCACGCACTTATTGTTATTATTGCACTGACACTGATTTCAAAATTAAAAAAATTAATATTCATACTGACTGGTTAAAAAGTTTAATGTTATCAACCAGATTAAAGGAAATCGTGTTAAATTTGCTAAACAAATCTGCCGAAAGAATTTTTTTTCATAAAATCCAGAATATTTAATTTTTAACCAATTAGAACCCGAACCATGGGCAGGCTCTGAAAAAGGTGGTATGACTACATTAAAAGGAATTTTGAAGCACTGTGAATAAACAAATGGAAAAAAAACAGAAGTGAAAAAGCTTTTAAGGAATGTCTGAAACCACAGAGTTCTGTTAACTCTCCAACGAAGAAAAACTACTGTATGAGTTTCGATAAGATTTATAAGATAACTAAGAGTCTAGATGAAATGATTTTGGGTAGTAACAGCTCTATGTATGACGTGAAATGTGTACCAGCTTATATAAGAGGATAAAGTTACTGTTCAGTTGATCGAAACTCAATTTTCGATCGCCGCTGATGCTAACAGATGGGACTCAACCACCAAGATCTTACATTTCCTCGTAAATCAGTTGACATCTTGGTAATACTTACCAATCAGCAACACCATGATATTGTATTCATTGTAAGTTCATTAGTTCTATTCTTTGGTGAAGAATAGTTTGAAGAATGCAGCTGTATGCAACTGAAGTCTCGCTATCAGCAAGTGGAGGAAAGAGTCGGAGATCTGGCTGCTAACATTCAACGATTCTCAAATCTTGTTTTCCGGATCCCCTTCCTGAGTTTCACAGAATTTGGCCTTTACATATTTAGACAAGTAGTTTGTCCAGGGACACTAACGGCTCTGAAAAACGTCCATGAGAGGGATCCGCTCATATATGTGCACTAGATTGAGGCAACTCAGGAAGTCTCATTGAAAGAATCTAACTGAGCAGTATCATTCACTGATTCAATCTCTAACCTGGAGAAAATGATCGAAGGTATTCTGTGAGATGTATGCAATTCTAGAGATGCATGCAATTGAAGGCAGGGCGAACGGAAATAAGAAAATGTTTAACATGCTCCAGCTTTGGGCATGTGACTAAAAACTGTCCACAACTAAAGGATGAGGGAAGTAACTAGCTGCAAGCCAAAGTGTTGAAGATTTCTTCATTAAGTAGCGATGACAGTGAACTTTTCGTTATGGGTAGTATCAATGAAGTTGTTTTATAATGAATATTGTCACCATAACGATCACCATCCTCAACGTCCCCATCATCAGAACACGATGATGATGAAAGAATTGGTGATAATTAAGGCCCGGATTTTGATGACATTTGCATTTTTGGACATTTTTTCAGATTTATAGGGCATTTTTTTTTAAATTTTGGGGTGTACTTTGTATTATAAAGCATTTTTTAAGGTTTTTGTTAATTTTTTCCAATTTTTATTATTTTTGGGGATATTTTTATTACATGAAATGCATGATTTGTCCTATAATTTTACATTTCATATTGTAATCTGGCAATCTTTCTGCGAAAACATTTTTAAATCATTCTTGAAAAATTTTCTCTCCATGTAAGTTGATCTGATTTTGCTACTTGCTTTATAATCCCTTTTTAATGTTTTTTCTTTTTCTTTTTTTACTTTCTGTTTTTACATGTTATTTTTACTTATATTTACTTCTTGTGATCTATTTTACTTGTTGTTATTTTTATAAAAAAAAAATTTTGAGTGCTCCTCACACCATTGTATTAATATATTTTGCTTTGGCTTTATTGATACAATATCAGAAAGCACTCTCTATAGATCAGAAGAATTGCACAANCTCCTCACACCATTGTATTAATATATTTTGCTTTGGCTTTATTGATACAATATCAGAAAGTACTCTGTTTTGCGGATATAATCGTGTGGGCTGAAGAAAAGATTATATCTTTTTTTCCTGTTTTTCAAATAAAATTTCATCCTTTTTTTTCCTTTTTAAACTGCTGTTTGTTATTTTTTTACTTATTTTTCTTGCCTTTTTTTCATATGTCTAACATTTTTCTTTGTTTAATTCTTCATTTAGAAGTGTTGATTAATATTTATTTATACGCTAATTTCTTTTTTTTTCACTCCGCTTATATTCGGCTTGTAAAAAATAAAATTTTATTAAATTAAAGATTGCTCATACCTGGGCACAGAAGTTCTTGGTGAGGTGTAGGAAAATCAAAAGGAATGCAAGAATTCATTGATTTTAATGCAACCAATATATTATATAAAAGAGAGACATAGAGGGAGAGATTGGTCTATGTGTCAGTAACAATTCCTACCTTTTTTACAAAGTTTCACCATGTGGCTAATACTAATTGAACGAGCTGCGCATCCATACTGCTTCACGTGAAGATTAAACTTGCAACTTTCTATGCATTCCTAAAAATATCATGAACATATTATCGATTAAGATTATTTTACGTACATTTCGTCTTCTTTTCACATATAGTTTCAGAAAGATTGATGTAGTCCAAAATGACAAAAAAGAGAGAAAATGAATAGTAGAAGGGTGATTGAGCAAAAATTTCAAATAAAATAGAGAAGAAGAAAGGGCAAAAAGTTAATCAAAAACAAAAACATGAAAACATTTTCAGAATGAAGTGAATATTAAAGAAAACAGAGGGTGAAAAAATGATTAAATCGCTTAGTAGTTTTTACAAGCAGTAATTAAAAATGCAGAACAAGTTTTAATATTTACAATATTCTCATTGAATAAATCCTAACAATGTGATTAAACCACTGTTGCTGATACAAAAGCAGATATGTAATAGTTTCAGTTTTATGAAAATAAACCTACCCTCCGCAGTGTCAAAACTCAAAATAACCGAATAAAATCCAAAGCCAAGTTATAACAAGCAATAAAGTGCATGAACTAATGGGTAAAAGTAGCAAGCTTAAGCATGATAATTGAAGAAAGGGAGATGAGAAGAAGTATATGGGATAATAAGGTAAAAAATAAGGTAAGGATGTAATAAAATACTTATTCGAAATAAAATAAGGTAGGAAATTAATCAAGTAAGCATTAAAAATAGGACCTTACCGTGAAGTCAAAGTTTTCATCGGTATTTCCTTCAGGGTTCAGTAATTGACAGTTTGTATCATAAGGATATGGTAAAAGATGTTGCTCTATCTATGAAAAAGAAGACCAATACTGATTACTATTGAATTATGCTATTCGTTGTGTTTAGAAAACTTTTAGCTAAAACAGCCGCTTGAGTTATTATTTTATGAAGAATGATAGAGAAATTTTGTATAATAATTATTGAAGGAAAAAAAAAACACAATTGAGAGTTTTTAGTTTACTATTGGGCATCCTTTAGTTTGAATGCATAATAAAATATGGTCGGGCATTGGGACATAAAAGTCCTTTATGTCCTGCAACATCTCGTTCCGCAGTTGTAGCAAAAATACCGGACGCTGTCTCACTTGCCGTCCCAAGTGGTACCAGGCATGCTTGTTCAGAGACAAATCTGGGGATTGAGTAAACCAGAGAAGAGTGTCATTCCTGTGATATACTTGCGGCGTATAAAAAAATGTAAAAATGGTTCTTAGAAGCCCTGCTATTAGTGGCAACACATGTGATCAAAGAGAGATACGAATGTGCCGCGGGGCTGTGATGGATCAATATTTGGAGTAATTGTATGTTGTATGCGATGGCACCTCATGCTATCACACCAGCTGTGTACAGTTGTACAGCGTAGTTAGAATTGAGAAGCTGAACCCGGGACCTGCACACTCGTGCACGATGGTCATCCCTGCCCACACTGAATCTAGATTAATCCCTGAAGACGTTCTGGTTTCATTCGGTAGCAGTCCGATACCGTCGAGAGTGACACAAATTCAACGGTAGGTACCGGTGGTGGGTGCCAATCCTGCCTACGCTGCGCAGCAGCACAACACAAAATGGTATAAGGTGGTGTCGCATACGACACATAAATGAATAAATGAATTCTGTTCGTTTGCCCTGTTCCTGAAAGCCAAATGTGGCCAAATGAATCCTTAGGATAAAAACAAGAAGAATATTAAAAGAAAGAAAACTTCCCCAAAGAAGAGAAACCGTTAGAAATCTGTACTACCGAAGATACACTTTCAAGTTTTATCGAATAACTTAGAAATTATTGATTGGAGTTCTTCCGAGGCATATCCTGTCCAAATGCTGCTAGTAAAAATGAAAACAAATCACTTATCAAATCTGATACTACGAGCTTTAGAAAAATCACAAAGTTTCCTTATCTCCCTCAAGCTGTGTAAAAGTGTATCAAACTTTTGATAGAGGATTCAAATAACAACAAAGTCAAAATCAGTTAAACCTAATTTTTTTTAAAAAAATTCTGACTTTAAATGTGTAATAGATATATAATCTAAATCATAAAATAATAAAATCTAAGTTATTTACTTGTTTGTTTACACTTATTTTCAAAAGAAATATTTTATTTTTTTACTCTCTATTTCTTTATAAATATTTTTTAAAAATTCGCTTATTCATTTAACAATAATCATTATTGGTTGTTTGAATGAGCTGGTTTCCCATTAAAAATTTAATAAATTCTCGAAAAATATCGTTTGTACGTGATTTATTTACAGTTGGATCTCATAGACAGATAGAATTAGATGATCATGATATGATTTTACGTGTTTACCACAGAAACTTTATGAGTAACTTTATGAACTGCTTGATTTAATTTTAAATGCTTCCCTAACTACACTAGGTTTTTTTTAAAGTCAATCATCTCAATTGAAATTATTCGATAGGTTATCTGTAAACAATACTCACATAATCGTTGACTTGAATGAGGTGCGCTCTTGGTACTTCTAACTTAAAGCCATATTTAAGAGGATTCACGAGTCTTGCAGAGTCATGTATTGCAAAATAAACAGAGGGATTTTCAACAGGATCAAGGTATTCATCCAGTTCAATTAGAAAAAGGAAAGATATATCTGTAATAAAATTTCTTTTTCAAACTGAATGAAGGAGAAAGCAACTACAGAAAAGTTAGAAATTTCATGGCATTTTAATTCTGTTCTAGAGAATCTGGACTTTACAGACGATATGGTGTTTTTATGAAAATTAAAGATTTACAGAAAAAAGCTGTTATTTTAGCTGAAATTAATTATATTACTTATTAATAGGACCCAAAATAAAATCTTTCGATTGATAATATCTTAAAAATGAACCGTTGCAACGATAAATGCCGGAAGTCAAACTATTGTCATTCAAAATAAAATTGTCAAAACTCACTATTGCTTCAGAAACTTAAACAAACTGTAGAGAAATATGTGTGACTTTAGAAATGAAATTCAATTCGTATAAATCGCTAATAAGATCGGTTCTCTAGTATGGTTGTGAAACATAGAAATAGACAGCGACACAGTATTTGAGAATTATTATGAATATTTTTAGACTAACACCCATTACTGATGAAATGTTATTACATGGTAAACAAAAATTAAAACCAATAGATGAAGAAATTTAACCGAGAAGATGGTGCTTTACAGGCCATTTATATTAAGAATGGATAGAGATAGAATTTCTAGGATCACTCACATCTGGGCACCTGAGGCAAAAAGATGGAGAGAACGCCATGGAGAGAGATTATGGAGAGAGAGGACTGAAGAGACAGACTGAATAGATCAGTTGGTAGGATGCAAGAATGTCTGCGGTTAACAGGGGAGTGTGGAGTTCGAGAACTTTACATAACGTTGGACATGATAATTTGCTGAACAGAGTATTTTCCTAAGGTTTAACAAGTATGAGACAAAGAGTTCTATACTAAGAACACAGTTTTAAATGTCTCTTTTTTACTGGACTAATTAATCCCAAGTATCATACTTATTAAAATCATATCATATCATATTAAAAGACAATTTATAGAAACATAACCATACATAGCAAAAATTAAAGATTTAATATGCATTTTATAACGTAAAATTCGGTCATTAGATTATTAAGGCATTCTATTTTTTTTCGAAAGTTTCATCATACTCACAGGAACTGACTTTCTACAAAAACATGTGTATATTAGGAATAACTTTTATACCGTCATTAAATAATCGCAACTAATCTCATGTTTGTGCCTAATCACATGCTTGTGTCCAATAACGGTGTTAGTGTTACAGCTTTAAGGTTTAAGTTTTTATCAAGCTGAATCAAATTTTAGATCAGATTTAATTGGATACTGCAAGTGACGTAATGCGTGTGTGTTGAATCAAATATGATTGGACGACCCGCGCACGTGACGACGTCGCTTGCAGGCATCACTGAACTAATCGTAAACATAACTTACCGTTCCAAGTTTCAATTGTACTCTCTTTATTCCAAACATCACCCTTTTTTAATTTTTTGTTAAAAGTTGTTCTGTTGATTTTTGAATACTGAACTGGATACTTCAATCCATAGGAAAGACAAATGACAGCTTCCCCTTCGTTATCGGTGAAAGGAACTTTTGTAAAGATCCTTGAAAAGTAAAAGAGAAATAAATTTAGAAATTTGAGATTGAAAGATACAATGTGTCTAGTGGAGGGTTGCCTGATTTGAAAATTAGAAATCTCGGAAACAAATTATGATAACTCGATAGGAAAAAAACGGTTTGTTTATAATTATAGCTCTAAGAATTTTTTTACAGAAACATTGAATTTTAGTTACAAAACTGGGTACAGATGGCGTTGTGTGCTATGAGTTGTTAACCAGCGAAAACGTACATGAAATGTATCGCATTTCAGCCTACAAATAAGTTTAAACATTCTAGTTTGTGAAACTCTGAGCCTTGGTGGCCCAGAGCTTCACAGAGTTCAGAGGGTATAGAGCGATCACTCCCCCAATGAGAGGATTCTAGGTTCGATTCCCAGCAATGACTGGTCGAAACGAATTCTGCACCCAGCTAGCACAATCTATATCGCTGAAATAAAATATCCTCAGTTATAGACGGATCATGGGTTAGAATACCCTTGCCGTCAAAATAACCGTAAAAGTTTTTTATGGATTTCCACTCCAAGTAAAGCCCACATAGCTTAGTTCTTTCAAAAATTACTCCACGACTGCAAATTTCTCCCAAAAACTTGATCCAGGAGTTCCCTTGTCTTCTGGATGGTGTTCAAAATTACAAAGCTATGGAATTGTACGTTAGTATTCGTAAACCAAATATTGGGTTGACTGCTCAACGACGGTTATAAAATAAAATACTTCTCCATATTCAAACAGAGTCTTCATTTCATTGTTTAGTAAAACTAATTTCAGGGGTTTTTTACTGATTTTGATTTCTAATTTATGGGATTCTTTTTATTCTTGAAGCTTCTTTTTATTCTTAAGTTCATGGGTACACTTTCTTAGAACATGACCCTGGCTTTAGCACTTATAACACAGGGGGGTCGGAATTTTCCTTTTCTAAGTTTCTCTGTTGTTATAGGATGTCCGGAGATGTTTTTAAGTCCATAGATATTTATATGGATGGTGTTCTCAGTATAAATGTAAAGAATAACAATCTCGAGCTCTATACCTGCTCTAGTTCCGGAAAGAAAGTTTGCAACTGTTTACTACAGCTTATTCTGCGAGGCGATATTTTCAAACGGATAATTTTGTTTTCAATGCAAGAAATAAATTAGAAAATTTCTGAGCTCAACTTTGCCATGCTTCGTGAGATATTTAGGTTATTAAGTAATTCAGTAGAGTTTGAAGTGAAAACATGTTTTAGTTATTTATAGATATATTGTTAAAAAAGGTGACATGGAAGCTAGATTTTGAATAACTCGCTTTTTTGGCTATCCTGATTTGACCTCTTTCCATTTGTTTATTACTGTTCGTTCTTGTTGAAAGCTATGCAGCATCTTACGTTAGCTTTGGAAAAACAACGTGCAACGTATTCACGTCTCAACATAGTCCTGTTGTGACGAAGCAGTGCATTTTTTATATCTCTACAGGGTCAATGAGGGACAAAGATGTGACGCATTAATGCCTCAACAGTGTCACCATGTGACGAAAATGCGACATATTCAAGTATCAACTTTGTCACAGTGAGCAAAATATGTGACTTATTCACTTCTCAGTAGGGTCACCATGTGACAACGCAGAGATGTGAATATGTCACATTCTTCTCACACGGGCACGTCACTGCGACTAGTTTGTCTAATATAAGAAATCCTCCCGACATCCGTCTGGACCTAAAGCGGTGACTATCGTAATGAGGTATGACTATTTCAAGTAGGGATACGGGTCACTGTTTCAGACTGGTTTCGACTCTGGTCGGAGAGAGAAAGGACATCTCTTTCCTTGAGTTCAAGAGTGTAGCTACCCTCCCTAAAATGCGCCATTCTATTCTCCATAGCACCAGACTGCCTCAGACTTTGTGGCGGGAGAAGTTCTTAACTTAAACAAATTATATGTCTCCTTGTGGTCTATGTATGATGTCAAATTCTGACGTCACCAATAACGGACATAGTAACATTCAAAAACCATCTCATCGACGTCGCAGAGGTAGCAAGTTAGTCATCATGATTGTCGCATTTTTGTTGCAATATGGTAACTGTGCTCTGTTGGTAGTATCCAGCCTGACCTTATTTGTGTGCATATATTTCGTAAAATTTCAGACAAAGGTACGTATACCGCCAATAATTCAATATATCACCTACTTTACAAATCTATACTAAAATATGATAGTATCCAACCTGAACTTGTATGTGTGTATATTGTTTGCAAAGATAAATATATCACCAATGATTCAACATATTACCAACCCTGCAAAGCAGTACTAATATAAGTAAGCAAAGCTGTACTAATATAATCCAATCAGCGAAGAAAGTGACCTCAAATCACAAACTGCGGAGGAAATTCGTTTCGGATCGCTTAGGGTCGTAAAGTTTTTCCGGTAAAAGAGCGCTGTGATAAAAGTATGGAGCACACGAACTGTATGAAATTTGCTACATATAAATTTTTTTCGTACTTATCTGAATTAGAATGTTTGTAATTGTTGTCGATTACATTAGGTATAAAAGGTTTAAATAGAGCTATCGTTTCCTTCCAGGTATAGCAATCATCATCTTGGCATACAGGATTGCCTGTATAAACCTGTAAAGAAAAAAAAATATCAACCATATGGGAGAAAAAATTTCTTTTGATTACGTGCAATTAATAACTTTACGCAAACATTATATGATAAAAAAAATCATAAATTACACGGGCAGTGGGACTGGGCTATAAATCGATGTATCGAGACATATCGATTTAACGCATATATCGGAAAGACGATACAGCGACTTTCATTCAAGGCGATGCATCAGATATCTGATTTAAGCCGTCGAGTAAAGACAACGAGCGCAAAACGATATAGCGATATAAGACACGCAAGGATATAAGATAACGATATAGCAATATAAGACTCTTCTCTTACGTTCCGATGTCGACTCGCGCTGTGGAAGACGATGTTCGTTTCATTATGTTGAAATGGCCTTGATTGGTGAGCTGTAGAAACAGAATCAGAGTTTTGAGAACACATATCGTTATATCGCATGTTCCTTTTCGCACCTCTCAGCTTTTTTTTTCTTTCTCGCGACTTTTCTTGTAGATTATTTTCAGTGGGACTAACTTCGTGATCGCCGATGTTACCTTGTTCTGAAGGCAATCTATTACTGAAAAGAATATATAAAGAAGAGTTTCTTCATTAATTAGATAAGATTTTTTTTAAAAAAAACTTCTTTTTATTTTTAAATGTGAAAATATTTTATTTTTAAATGTGAGCGAGGCTTCTGGGGCGATATATTGTGATTACAGACACACACACACAGCCGCGTTTATTATTATGTATAGATAATATTTATATTTCGTACCTCGAGCTCTGCAAATATATTAATTAAAAGCTTTTTATTAATTATGATCCGGTTCAACTGTTAATTTTCATCATCTCCTGATTTCAGCATTAATCTTCAATTTGTCAATATCTTCAACTTGGCCCACTATACCATACACCCTCCAACAACACCCCTGATATACCATCTCAATATAAGATGGCACCCTGAATATTTTTCCTTCCTCCATAATTGTATATCTTACAACTCAACATTTCTTTATTATTTTTCAATAAAATAATAAAAAATAAATAAATATTGTCTAAAATTCATTCTTTTTGTATGGGATTATTCTTGAATAAATGAATTTCATAATTGTGAGTAAAAACACTTCATTTATCTTAAAACGTTCTAGAGATATGCGGATGGTTGATCGTGTAAAGCAAAGCACATATGACTTAAATTTATTCTCTCGTTTGTAACTTATGATGATTTTTTCCCCAATTAAAGATGTATTTAAGTAAGGTGTTAACATTACAACTTTAGTAAACTGGAATTAATTAAGGTGATTTTCAGATTTTGTTGCTTACCTCCTGAATTACAGGTTAATCAATTTTAGTAGAATTATAGGTTGATATACAATACAAACAATGCAACGAATAAACGTTGTAACTTATATACATGATCAAACGCAACTGACACCGGGACTGGAATAAGGTATGATACAGTAATAAACAATACACTCAAGCTTTTGAAAATTGTAACACCATTGAAGGAATTGTGATAATTGAACCTAAAATACATGCAATGTAAACTGAAGTGAGACACGCAAATGATTAGAATTTTAAAGCAATTGTACATGCACCACTATTGTGCACGTTAATTTGCACCACTCTCAGTAATATACAGAGCAAATTTCATTAATTTATGAAAATTTTTTCAATGTGTTGTAATTTTCACAAACAATAGTGTACAAAATATTCTAATGTGAGGCTTGATCACCTCCTAGGCTATTTTAAATGATGACCTCACACCGTGATTGCATGCAGAAAATTAATCAGTGTGGCAATGTGTAGCTCGTGATGGGTGGATAATCTTAACTGTTTTATTTTCTGCATAAATACACTCTATAACAAAAGAATCGATGCACCAAGAAGCAATGCCAGATTACAGTGGTGCATGGCTCGATCAGGCTGGAATGATGTCGACTGGGGACGTATAGTCTTTAGCGACTGGGGACGTATAATCTTTAGGGATCCTGCCTTCACTATTGCATGCCACGCCGGCTCTCAACAAGGCATTATGGTCTGGGGTGCCATTTCTTTTGACAGCCGGACCCCTTTGGTCGTCATTAGAGGTACATTTACTGCACAGTGGTACGTCGACGACATCCTAAGACCTGTTTTGCTACCGTTCCTTTTGCAGCGCCCTATGCTGGTTTTTCAGCAAAGAAATGCCAGACCACATACGGCACGTGTTGCTATGAACTGTCAGCAAGCTTGTCAAACTCTTCCTTGGCCTGACAGATCACCAGATCTCTCTCCCATCGAGCATGTCTGGGATATGATGGGAAGGCGATTGCATCTGGCACGGAATGTTGATGACCTCGTTCGACAATTGGATCGAATTTGGCAGGAGATACCGCAGGAGACCATCCGGGAGCTTTATCGGTCTATTCCACGTCGTGTGGCAGCTTGTATCCAGGCTAGAGGCGGGTCAACACCTTATTGAACGTGTTACTGTAACTCTGAAATAAATTATTCAATTGTTCTGAAATTTTAATCATTTACTATTCTGTACATTGTCTTCCTATCCACAAATTTTCGTTTCAATCGGACAACTCCTTCTTGGTGCGTCGATTTTTTTGTTATAGAGTGTATTTACCTTCCTTTTTGCTAATGTTCAAGGCCAAGAGAGAGGTTCAACATGTTCTTGTTCGTGCATGTGAGCGGAATTTATTATAGATTTGTTTTCGTTTAGATTTGGAACGAATTGAAAAATAATATTTACGCTTTGACTAAGATCGACCTGACGGTTAGTTTTGTTGCATTAAAAAAATATCAGGAGCTATCAATTAGTTCCACTCATTCTGCAACGGTGTTTTCAGGCCTTGGATGCCAATTGGAAGGTTTCGAGTTACAGTTTTGCTGCTTACGTGAAGACACAATGTAAAACCATAACGTGATTTCCGTAAATCAATAGAAATACGCTGAAGAGGGATCACACATATAAATTGTTTGCTCCAATATGTAATCCCAGTTTTATATTTCCCGATATCGCAAAGTTTTAAACAGGTTTGTTTTAACGGTTCGATAATACACTCTATAACAAAAAAATCGACGAACCAAGAAGGAGTTGTCCGATTGAAACGAAAATTGGTGGATAGGAAGACAATGTACAGAATAGTAAATGATTAAAATTTCAGAACAATTGAATAATTTATTGCAGAGTTACAGCAACAAGTTTAATAAGGTGTTGATCTGCCTCTAGCCTGGATACAAGCTGCCACACGGCGTGGCAGAGACCGATAAAGCTCCCGGATAGTCTCTTGCGGTATTTCCTGCCAAATTCGATCCAATTGTCGAACGAGGTCATCAACATTCCGTACCAGATACAATTGCCTTCCCATCATATCCCAGACATGTTCGATGGGGGAGAGATCTGGTGATCTGGCAGGCCAAGGAAGAGTTTGACAAGCTTGCAGACAGTTCATAGCAACACGTGCCGTATGTGGTATGGCATTGCCCTGCTGAAAAAACAACCCAGGGCACTGCAAAAGGAACGGTAGCAAAACAGGTCTTAGGATGTCGTCGACGTACCGCTGTGCAGTAAGTGTACCTCTAATGACGATCAAAGGGGTCCGGCTGTCAAAGGAAATGACACCCCAGACCATAATGCCTTGTTGAGGGCCGGTGTGGCGTGCAATAGTGAAGGCAGGATCCCCCCTCTGCCCTGTGCGTCTCCAAACACGTCTTCGATGATCGTCAGGACACAGCTGGAAGCGGGATTCATGGCTAAAGACTATACATCCCCAGTCGGCATCATTCCAGCCTGATCGAGCCATGCAGCACTGTAATCTGGCTCGGCACTGTAATCGGACGATTGCTTCTTGGTGCGTCGACTTTTTTGTTATAGAGTGTATTTTCTTTACCCATCAACTTATCGTTCCATCAATAATCTATACCTATAACTTTCCATATTTATATCTAATATCTATTGTCGATAACTTTATTTACTTATTGACTTTACTCGTATCGACTTATTTTCAAACTAAATTCAATTTAAAATCATTCCAGCAATTCGGGAGATAATTTCTGTAATTTCAAAACTCATTAATTTTGAAGCCAGTATACACACACTAACCAATGCACACTCGCTGGCCTCAATGTATGCAAAATTTGTTTAGGATGGGAATAAAAAAGCTTTAAAGTAGAATGTGCAGGTGTATTTCACGACGAACGCTAGAGACTGAGAAACGCCACAGATCTCTTATCATTTGAAAAAAAAATGGTTTACAGTAAAGCCAGTTTAGCAGTAGCCTTGATTGTGAACATAGTAGAACTCATTGGGTTCTGAAAATCAGCGATATCAAGTTTTCAAAAATTGAAAACAGAATCCACAGCCATCTAGAAGAAATCTAGAAGAACCACAGAATCTAGAAGACATAATTGTGTCTTATCCAAGACCGTGATCGGCATCGTCCATGACGAATTGTAAGGCAGACTATGTTTCATTTCATTTTATTTATTACCGTTTATTATAACCGTCGTTAAACAGCGACCTAATTTTTGGGTTTACTACTACTAATGTTCATCTCTATAGCCTTGTAATTTTGAACCGAATCCGAAAGAGAAGGGAACTCCTGGATCAAGTATTGGGAGAAATTTGTCTTCGCGGAGGACATTTTGATGAAACTAACCCGCATTTGGGCTATATTTGAGAGGAAAAATACGAGAACCTTCCATGGTTAGCCCGATGGCAAGTGGACTCTAACCCATGATCCGTCTACCACTGAGGATAGATTATGTTTCATTGATAAAAAACCTTTAATCTAGGTTTTTATTAATTTTTTTCGACACAAATAATGAGCAGAGAATTGGATACCTTCCAGCGATTTAACGCTTGGGTCAGCCTATTAAGCTCGACACACATGAGGGATGTCACTTGTATATGTGGTCCGAAAATTCTTCTGTGCTAATATGATATGAATATTGATTGATCGTAATATTAGAACCAAGCCTTAAAAAAACAAAGTCAACACGCCATGCACAATCACGTAACTAGGCACAACCACGTGATTAGTTGCAAGTACTTTATGATAGAGGAAAGAAATACATAATGGCTGTAAAAAAATCTCTTGTTTTTCCACACTAGTAAAAAACGTTGAATTTGACGTGAGCCAACGAAGCTATGGACTCTTTACACTGTGAAAGGATCTCTGATACGAGTTTCACATTCTGGTCTTATGAGAGTAATGCTCTGTTTTCTTTCTCCCTTTTTTATTTTTGCTGGGGAGAGGGGTAACTTAACAATATTGAAGTCACTGAGTATATTGATAGATTAAGAGCATTCATCAATGTTGTAACCCCAAATTTAAGCAATAAAAATGAAAAACTTATCTATTTAAATAAGGATAAAACATTTCTACGAGAAATTTCCTTCTTTCATAAAATGACATTTACTTGATTCTTCCCCAAAGCTATTCAATAATAATAAAAAAATGAGAAAGACTTACGCCTCTGTATACTTTTAAGAAGTTGCAATATCTGGGATATCTGCTGCATACATCATCCCCGGAATTGAAAAAAACACATTTATGCGGATATTTCTTGCAGACATACTTTCGATGTCGCCTGCAAATAGTGGAACATAATAAAAGTTAAAATTGAAAGTCAATAAGTTTTAGAATTTTTTCCCTATAAATACATTATCAAGTTTTGAATAAAAAATTAACATTCTTATCTCTTTCTTTCTGAAATTTCTAGGAGCTAAAGAGGAAAACATACTCTGTGAAGAGCAAATGGGATTAACATACTTTTGGTAAGATTAAGATACTGTAATTAACATACTTTTGGTATATTAAACTATGATTCCAATATTTTGGACTAAAAACTGGTTCGATATACAGACCGCAAAAATAAATAAATAAATAAAAATAAGTAAATAAACGATCTCCTTAAAAAACTTACTTAATGATCGGAACTTCAGTTTCTAGGATTCAATCTTAATGGCTTGAAAGATTGGATTTATTATGATTATTAATTAGTGCATTGTATATTTTAAGTTAGGAAATCAGACACATAAATATACTTCCTCTTAATAAACATCCCTATTTTTCGATGAATTTCGATTTTTAATACGTGAAATATCCGAGGGTATAGCCGTAAGAGCGGAAATATGGTCCCCATAGTTTGGTCAAGAAGACGGTCCAAAGTTTGGATCCCTGAATGTTAACTTTATGTTTTGCGTATTTTATCATATTTCGAGAACTTTTTAAGTGAATTGAAAAAATCGTCAACACAATTACAAAATTTGCTTATCAAAAAGAAAAAAATAGGGAGGGGAGAAAAAAAAGGAATAAAAAAAAATGCGAAATAGTAAGCATTCAGTAAATATTTATTAGTTTGCATTATCTTATTTATTAATAATAGTCGGGACATTTCAAATTGCAAGGTACACAATTTCTTACCTTTTATTTTTAATGATAAAATACAAAATTTGAGGGGAATCTATCGAATAATTTCTGAGAAATCGAAATTTAAATATACCTCTTTTTCAACCATCAAAATTTATTCGGGATGTCCTATTTTTAATTTTGCTGCGAAATTGTAATATGTAATTTTAATTTGATATACATTTTATCCTCATTAAATCTTAAAATAAGTTACAAGGTTAAGTTATACGTTACAAAGCAGGTAGCTTCCAACTACGTAAATCTACAAATCAGATTTTCAAAATAAACCAACTTTCCTTTGAAGTAGTTTTTAGAATGGACGCTCGTAACAATGTTTTAGTTAGAATGGTCTGACTTGCAGTAAAAACATTTGTCATTATTTTAACATGTTTCTCCTTTTTAGACACGCAGAGAGACTATATACATGCTTGATTACGGAATATATTTTAATTTGAATACTTTGTGCAATGCATTTTATGCAGCGTTAATTTTAATTTGAGACAAGACACTGATTACACTGTAATGCAAACTTAAATTTGAATATTTTGTAGCATGGATTTCGCTCTTCATGCTTTGTGTATTCTAAGCAAAGATTTGATAACTAAAAATTCATTTTTGAAATGCTACACTTTTTGTAAAGTAAGTTTTTATAGAAATATATAGTATTATAAATTTGATCAAATTAGGTAAAAAGTGTTAAAATAAAATGTGGTGCAATTAAGAGGTATTTTCCTAAATGGCCTTTGTTCAAATAATCTAATTTCTGCTAAGTACCTCTATCAATGGTTCAAATGGTAATGGTTGAATCTGTCAAACAGTTTCTGAGTCATTTAATTTCTCCGTCGTGTTCTTAAATGTTCGTCTTAATCAGTGTTGGTGCAAACTTCATATTTTGTCATTTGAAATTATAGTTATGTAAAAATCTGTTCAAGAGTATCTTCCACCATTGTTAAAATGTCGCACACTTTTAATTTGATGATAATACTCAGCAATACAATTTTTCTATTGTTAATGTCTGACATGTGAAACTGAGCGGCAGTCGTACGTTTGAAAGCGAAAGTTAGTTAATTTTGTCATAGTTTTTCCATGAAAATTCGTGATCAGAAAACCTGGTTATTTGTTAGTCACGACAATTCTTTACTCTTCACAAAAATAGAAAAAAAATTAATACATTATCTACAATTTTGCATTTTTTATGATGTATTACTGAATAATTATTAAATAACTTCTGAGTTTCTACCCCGAAGTTGCATTTTCGGAGTCTGTAGATAGACCCGCATTGTATTTTTTAACTACAATTTTATAATATTTGTGCAAATTATCTAATTTAAAATTTTTGCATTGAACTTCTTGTACAATTTTCTAGGCATCTTCGTTATTTTTTTGAAGTCAAGCATGTTGGGCTGCAGTCAGTAAGCGTATAGGTGACCAATTTCATCAGCCCGCTTAGAGATCAAGGGAACGCAATATCGAACCTCGTTCAACCGAGAAGTGCTCACCTTCGCTCACAAGTAGCCGGGCTACCGAAGCAGAGGAATCATCTCTTCTGCAAAGAATTTTCTACAGAAAAGTGCTCAATTTCAAGCAGAGAATCAAGATTGTGATGCCATGACTTGGATTATCTTCATCCGGTGATGGGCAGACATCCTTCACAGACCATCGTTGATAGCCCATAGTGCAGTGCTAGTGCTAAGCAAGTACCTGCATATCAACCTTCGTTATTTTCAGCTTTTAAGTCAAATAATTTTCAATCCAGAAAAGCCAAATCTAAACTGTTGAACATGCAAAACTGCGAAAATTGTATTTTTAAATATAGAGAAATTACTTACCGATTCGCATTACAAAAAGTTATTGCTGGTCGATCTATGGTTACGGGTCTTTCTATTCTTTCGATTGAAACAGTTTCGTAGGCAAGATATTGTTTTGAAAAATCGAATGTGAAAAATAGAAATGCGCTCACATTCAATGCAAATATCATCAGTTTAATCCATTTTTCTTTTTTAGATTTCGACGTAGCAACATCTGCTATAGAAGATATGAACGATCTCTGGAAATATTTTACAGGCAATGACGTTTCTTGAGTCTCAGAAGTTGTTTTTTCTCTTTTCCGTTCGACTCTAACTTCAAACGCTCGAATGGTATTCTTGCTTTCCTATTTTTAAAAAAAAATATACATATTAAAGTAACAGAATATTTGTAAATGAAGGGGTCACAGTACCCCAAAACTGACCAAAATATCAATATTTTTTCTATTGCTTGTAATAAAACTTCAAACTATTTCAAATGCACTGAGGAAAATCATCTCTGTCTACATTTCCAAAAACGTTATGAATGATTTTAGATTGTTCTAAAACACAAACTTGATCAGCAGACTGACTCTAAAGTGCTTTTTCTCACAGGTGAAAATTTTGTGTTTTAATCTTAATTAAATTAATCTTAATTAAATCCCTAATAAATCCAAATTCTTTCTACTTAAGATAAAGCTTTGAAGTAAACTTTTTTATCTTAAGTATAATACAATTATTTAAACTGTGCATGGAATAATAATTTTATGAGGTATTAAAATTTTTACAACATGTTATATATACCTAACAGGAATTTGAATATTTTTCTCCTTTTTTTTTTACAAAATAGTCTATAAAAAATTTTGTAATTGATATAACAACAAATGAAAGCACGGGATTGTTAAGATGAATATTATAAGCACTAAGAAAAAAATTTTTTGAAAAGATGCTAAAATAAAAAATCCTTAAAGATTTAAAAATTTCGAATTTTTGAGTTTTTTTTTAAAGTTTAAAAAAATTTAATAGTTCAACTACTTTTTGAAGATATATTATTGGTTATAAGTTAAATGAGCATGTAAAGCATCCACAGAATGAATGATTATACCTTTATTTAAAAAAAAAATGTTACAAGGCTACTGTGACCTCCTTAAAGTGAGTTCAATTTATTCGTAAAAAGAAATGACATTTTCACTCTGTCAACTACGTACACGTCTAAAGTAAGTAAATTTATTGTGTTATTTGGAAAAAAAATTTAAAGAAACATTCAACAGATTTGTTTCAAAATTGAAAATATGGCACTTCAAACTAGGCAATTTAATACGTGTAAAATATCACTCGTGGCTTTTATAATTCTAAAAACTTCAGCTGTTGTTTGAGTAATTATTTAAATTGATATTTTGCATTCAATAACCGTGTTTCCATACTCTGTTTTGAAAGGGAGTTGTTAATAAGTTTCCAAATAAACAAGCTTTAGTTTTTTTTTACGTTGTTGGATCCTTTAAACTGCCTAAATTATTTAAATTGTCATCAATAGTCCAATTTTTTACAGTCACATCGGTTTTGAAAAAAATCCCAAAAGTTTTCCAATTTTTCGTAATTTTCAGAATTCAAATTCCTTGCTTGTTTTGCTAGAAGAGAACGATGTAGAACTCCTCCTTTAGAAGAGGTTGCAAGTCGAGAGATTTAATTTTTCAGTGAGTTAATAACATTTTATATACATAGTTTTGAAAACATTTACAATAGAATATGGTTCTTTGACTTTTGATATTGATAGGTCATCTTTTAATAAGTCTACAACACATTAAGATTAAAGAAAAATGAGGAAAAACAAATCTAGTGCTTAGTATTATCCGCATATATTAATCCCCAGCTTCGTGTCCACCTTCTTTATTTAATGTCTGTCACAAATTTAGCAAACCTTTCCACAGCCTGGGTGTGACAGGGAAACTTTTGTATTTCTTTAACACGCATAGTGTGAGAATTGATGATATCCACCTCCTATCGCAGCATCGAGAAAGGATGTACCAGACAAGAAATCCAATTAATGATTTCAAAGTAATCCGAGGATTGATATTTTATCTTCTCTTTACGATATTTGATACTTTGTTCAAAAAAAAAACCTATTTTGAACACTTAATCAACATAGGCTCATAGGAACATCATGTTCAAGAAAACCTATATTGAACATTTCAAATGCAATCACTTTAGGGGCATTTTTCAGGATGGGGTTGCACATAAGACGGGTCTTAAAATTGAGACAAACCGAAGAAAAAAAGAGTGAGAAATTGATGGATTATAAAATTATTTAATACAGTATACAGATAATTAAATATTAAAATATAAATTTCAATATTACACAACCGGAAGCATACGTGCATATTTCAAAGGCAAAATTTATTCCAGTAGAATTGTAGACAAACTTCGTGCCAACTAGTAATCGATTGTAAACAGTCACAGACGCATCGAAAGCGTACGAACATCAGAGTTTTCGGAATTGAAAATATTTAACATATGGTGTGCAGGCACGTGACATTGGTGTAATCTTCTTTCAGTTTTGATGTTTAGAACTTTCATACACTCTGTAATTTGTAGAGGAATGTTTGATTTGGGGTGAACTTGAACAAAGTGTTGCTTCACACAAATTTTTGGCTTCGCTGAAATTAAATTCGAAGCGATATTAGACAACGATTTTTACGATGTAGTATGAATACATGTTCCAAAAAATTCGGTTTTGGTTTAACTTGACGTGCAACCATTTCTACATGGTGAGTATTGGGTTGTTCTGAACAAAAAGTACAAAGAGATGAACAGCAAAAAATTATTAGAAAAATGATAACTTCTATTAGATTTTAAATCCCAGTGGGAATGTTGAATTTATAAGCTTTTGTTGGATTCGATTGTATTTAGATTATTCAAACAAGCATAAAAAATATAACGTTTGTTTATTTCAAAAATTTACTCCAAACTGTGGTGGCTCAGAGGATAGAGCACTCGTCTCCCGATGAGGTGTTCCGGGTTTGAATCTCAGTGATGGTTGCTCGATACGAATTCTACAACCGGCTCGAAGTGCCGAAGGATTAGAGGTTGGAACTACCTTGCCATCAGACTAACCGTGGGAGGCCTTCTTCGACATTTCACACTAATGCGGGCCAGTTCCTCAAACATTCCTCAATANTTATATATACGCACTAAGGGAATATAAGTTGTTCGGTGAAATGAAATAAAAAACTGCTGAATTTTTTCTAAAACTGATGATTGAAGTGTATAAACCACTGATAGTAAATTATTAATTTATGTGCAATGCTTATAACGATTTGTATTGAATTGTATAAGCATAACATAAAGTGTATAAGCATAGCATAACCTCCAGTTGACTGATTTTTAAGACATTGTTCCCAGTACATAACCAAAGTCAAGCATCACTGGCTGCTGTCAGTGAGCGACGTCATGTGTGTCAGTGAGTGGGTTGATCAGCCTATGATGTGGGTTGAACCACCTTGATCTGCCTGTGATGGAACCAAAGAATATATAGGGAGACTATATATTCTTTGATGGAATGGAGGACTTACGGTATTGATCCTCGTTAAACAGTTCTACCGTAAAGTGCCCGACTTCTAAGTCAGGTCATCGGTCTAACGAAGCGGGAGTGCCATCCTCTTTGCAAATGATCAAAATTGTGATGGCATGTCTTTGGGTCGTCCTCAGGGAGGCTTCCCAGACCGTCACCAATAGCCCATTGAGCAACTCTAGAGAGACGTAAATAAATTGTAGTAACAAATAATTGTAATTATTGCAGAAAGATATTATTAACATTTCGAAATAATCTTTTAGAAAAGAAATCGTTAACCAACAGTGTTCACGAGTAAAATTTAGTCTTAACTTTGCCAGAGTATAAAAACACACCAATCCTTTAAGGTTAGTCATGTTTTGGTTGCATTATGGTAGACGCATTTTACCATTTTATCTAGGGAGTCTGTTTTCGCATAATAATTGAAAAGAAATTCTTTACTTAATAAATTGAAACTCTGGAGTGAGTAAGATTACATAAGAAAAATTGCAAGTGAGGTTATATAAAATAAAATAAAAAACACGGATATCAATACTCGCCTCTTTTAAGTAAATTACTGTATAAAATATAACTAAGAAGATGCTGAAAATTAAATCAGCAAACTGGATGATAGAGAAACCAGTCCATAATCCTAGGTAGCCACCGACGTTGCTTGCTATTTCAATATGCTGTTTAGAGAAAGATGTTAGTTAGAAATTGTTTTAACTATTTTTTTTCTTCAGAATAATTTAGACTATATGGGGTATTTAATGCAATAAGATTCAAAATGCTGGAAAATAAATTTCTTTTGCTCCTTGAGAGAATAGAGCAAGAAAATCAATCATTTTTACACCATTGTTCTTAAACGAGTAATCAAAACTTTGTAGTCCAGCTTAAAACTTGCCCTTGTTGCCGTTAATACTATGGTGCAGGAAATAGAACGAATGAAACTACAAGGTCTATCAGTTTTCTTTTTGCAATGAATAAATTTCCAGGAGTTCCATTTCTTTAGTATATTATTCGAAACGTAATTCAACATAAAAAATTTCTTTCTTTAAAATGCTTACTGTATTACGCGCATTGATTAAAGTTGACTGAAAAAAGTTGTAGTTAGAATCTGACTCATTTGTAAGTAAGCAATAGAATTCAATTCATTCGTATGGACGCTCAAACTGAACGTTCAAAATGAGAAATATCCTTCAAAAATATAGTATTTTGTTTTTGAAATATTAAGTTCGCACTTTACTAAGAGGCAGCAAATCTTGTTTGAATTAGAGTTTTTCTTACCGAATTAAGATAATGAATAATTTTAATTCTTCTTACCGATTAGATAATGAATTTGTAAAAGTCAATACATCAATATGTAGTTCACATTGACAAAGTTGTATTTTCTCGTAATGGAATTGTTAAATGTTCTCAAAACTTTAAAAAGTTCCTCGCGCACCAGATTTTGTTTCATTATTAATAAACATTTTCAGATACTCTTCGCTGTGTCTTGTTTAGTTTTAAATGAATTTGAAGAACTTTGATTCTTAATTTATTTTTTCAATAATTGAACAAATGCATTAAAGCGTTTTTTTGAGGAAATTTCTGGTGACGAAATAAAAGTTTTATTTCTTTATTTTTTTATACGATTACCATAACCACTTAAATTTATTTAAATGCCTATAAGCAAAGTTTCTGGGTAAAAATTTAATTTAAAAAGTTAAAATTCCTTCGCAAGGAACTTTTTAATTGCCAATAATTAAAAATAGTACTTTTAGTATACTTAGCATATTGTAAAACTAATCATTATTTTTTTAAAACTTTATTCACGGATTTCTTTTAAAACTACCAATATTCTGTTAGAATTCGAAAACGAATGACTAAAAATTGCCCTTCTTTGCTTTGAATGCCCGATGCTCCCTTACTTCGTATTAATAACTACAAAATTTTTATTCTTATATACAACAGAAAATTATTAAGTTGAAAATGCTGTAATCTTGTAAACATTTTAAAAGATAAGTTTTTTACGTTAGAAAACGTATCGAATAATATATTAAAAAAGCAAAATCCATGGAAATTTATTCATCCATTTTATTTATCGGATTCATACAATTTTGTATTTTGTCTGAAATTTTATTCAAAGAAAGTAATTAAATTTCATCATTCAAAAAAAATATCCCTTAAAGTTGAAATCTAGGGGACTTTAAATAATTTCTGTGTTCTCTTTTCTTTCTTCCTTTTTTCAGCAGAATTCATAATTTACTTGCAAAAAGACTTAAGTTTAGTTCTCATAAGTTATAAAGTAAATACTAACTATTTAGACAATGAATTATAAGTTGCAACTTATGCATTTTTATTATGTTCGTGGAGTGAAAATTCGATAGCTTTTATGATATCATCACAGAAACTTTACAGAAGTTCCATAAAATATGATAAATGATTCAAATAATTTTTTTTAGTATTTTGTTTTAAAAAAATCAATAAAAAGTATTTTAATAACTCACACAGTTTGATTTCTATGCAAAGTTAAAGAGTGTATTAAATCAATTTTATCCTTTATTTAGTTATTGGTTTTAATAAAAAAAACGTAAAACTTTAAGAGGAAATAATAAATACTTTACTATATGTATATTTTAAAAAAGTCAATAAAATTTCATTTATTTTTTAGTTTTTATGAAACATTTTTTAAAATGATTTGATATCTATATTTTTTTAATATTTTCCGTGTGAAATTGACAAAAAGCGATACGATGTAAAAAATACGAAAAAAAAAAACAGGGAACGAAGTGGAATTTATACATATCCAGATTACTAAAAAATGTGTATAGGACTTTCTTAAAACTACAGAAAGTTAATTCCAAAGAAAATATTTAATATTAAAACCAAATACAATAGTTGGTAATTTAATTCAAGTTTTCAAATCCATCAATATCGTGTGGTATGGCACACATTCGTCTTGAAGTATATTTAGAACATTATGTATTTACATAAAACTCAATTTTATTTTTAAAAAAAGCTTTAAATTTGTATATTAACTTACCTGTATTCTGGGCACTGAAGTCAATTTCTTAAGCGAGAATTGGTTAAAGGTTATAGTCAAAGATATGTTGTTAAGCCTGCAAAATGTAACAAATTCATGTTAAAAGTACCTTGATTTCATTTTAAAATGTTCTTTATTATTAAGAAAATAATAGACTGTCATATCTTTTCTGATAAATCTGTTCATTGTTGAACCGTAATAGCGGTAGGTGTAATTATTTGCTTGAATTGTAACAAAGTGTTAATTTAAGCCATGTTTTTTATACATATTTTTAGCTGCAAACCTTAGTACCTGCAGATGATAAGCAACATTGTAGACAGCCACAAATACTCACTAACTTAGAATCGGCTGTAAAAAATTATGGTCAAAATAAACCCACGCCAACATGGGAGTTTTCAGAGTCGAAGATATTCCACTTTTGGTGTAAACACTAGTGATTTTAGCATGCAATTTTGGTATTTAGAGCTTTCATAAAACCTTTAAATTGCATATAGAAGCTAGGTTTGGTGTTAACTTAAAAAAAGGTGTTAATTCGCACAACTTTTAGGATATTTTAACATCAAATTCGGAGAGATATTACTTAATTGTCTTTAGATTGTAGATGTTTCACTACATTAAAAATGTTATTTTGTAGTGCTTTACACACAGTTTTGTTATGCATTAACATTAAATTTTCTTAATTACAGTACGATATGAGTGATGATACACGTGAAAGTGAGTAAAGTTATTTTTACGATAAAATATACTTTAAAAAATTTTGTTGCATAGTGGTCACTATTTTTTCTGTTGAAATAAACTAAGTACATTTTTAAATACAGAAATGTAATTATAATGCAGAAAAAGTATATAAAATTGACAAAAAATCAATTGTTTGAAAGAATTAGTACGAATAAATTACTGAAAATATGCTTGTTTTTTAAACGAAATATTTTTGCAATAAAGTTTCATGATCACCAATGCTCATNATCCAATTTGATACTAATTTATTCGTGGATATAATTACATTTATTCGATATTTTAATACTTACTGACGATAGATTAGAACAAACATCAGTGTTTGGAGTATCGGGCAAATATATACCGGGCAATGGCACTTGACTTTAAAAAAACATCAGTGTAGGGTGTACCGGGCAAATGTATACCGGGCAGTGACACTTGACCTTAAAAAAACATCAGTGTAGGGTATACCGGGCAAACGTATACCGGGCAGTGGCACCGAACCTTAAAAAAACATCAGTGTAGGGTACACCGGGCAAATGTATACCGGGCAATGGCACTTAACCAGACCTAGTGCGACTAGACCTTTGTTTAATGTCCGAAATATATACTAGGTCCACTGCCATTTTTGCACAGCTTAAATATTTAAAAAAAATTAAACAAAGCGTTTGAATAAATTTTAAACTGATAACGAAATTATTGCTTTAAAATTTAAAAAATAATAATGAAAACTGCACCAGATAAGAGTAATTGAAGTAGTTGCTTAATACAGCGTATGTGCGGCAAAAAATTTTTAAAAAAATTATCCAGGTACGTCTAAAAGTGGATGAATATCCCAAGACACCTACTGTGTCAGAGAAACAGTAAATTAAAAAAGTGACCACATACACTACAAAAAATTATGGTTAACACCAAAACGCTAACATCAAAAGTGATGGCAACTATACGCCAAAATATTTTACTGTGTATAAAACAAGAAAAATTAATATATAATGCTTATATACTATGATTTTTTAAAAAAAATTAATTTTTTAATCAAATATAAAAATATTAAAAGATTTATGTAAAGCTCTTTGTGAGAATATAATTATCTATATTATAAAGCTAAAAATGAACATGCATGTTTTAATATTTTATTACCGTTTCTATAGAATGTTTACCCTTTGAGGCGAAAGAAAACTTTTACCTTTACTTGATCGATTTTAAACGAACCGTAGTCGTTTGATGGATTCTAAACTTAAGCCAAAAATGACGAAAATAGTTATGAATGGAGTGAATGCATTAGGTATCGGTGTAAGGTTTCTAATAAATTCGAGTTTAGATTAAACAACACCCTTTTACGTGTGTATGAATTTTTAATTCGTTATTAACTTAAAATAGAGCACGATTTTTGAAGTTTTTTACCACCGAATTCGGATAGGAATTGCGTCAATCTTTACAGTGTGTTGCAGTAAATTTCAGCGAATTCATTGGCCAACGCTCTCCAACATTGCTAAGTGTGTATGGGTACAATTACGATTGTTACAAGTATTTTCAATGCTTATTGAAGTTTTAGCTTGTAAGAATACTTTTTAACAAAATATGAACAGGAATAGAGTTCCGTTTTATTGCTGTTTTTATTAAGTTTTGTATTTATTAAGTCATTTCAAAAAACTCACTTGCAGAAAAATGCTTCGTCTTCATCTGTTATGTTAGATAAATTACACTGAAAAAAATATGTAAGCATTATAAAGATATAATACCTAATTAAATAAAATTTATGAATGAAATATAAATGCAATGCTTTTTTTTTGCTTGCATTGATTACGTATGATTCAGATGTTATGTATGTTACTAAATCATTGGGAAAGTCTTGGTTAGATGGGCATAAACGAAAAATTGTCTAAATTAATATATCCAATTATTTTTAATTGATTGCATCAGATGTAGTTACACAGGAAATAGTTTATTAATTGAGAGAAGGAGTAGTTTTTTTATGAAAATAAAAAAAAGGTAAAATTTTGAAGTCTATTTTATTCGGAGTTCAAATACTTTTCGTTAATTAAGTATTTCGTTCTTTTGTAATACACGCTGTTATAAATTCATTGGAAAAAATGGATAAATAACAATTTATTTAATTGCTATTTTACCAGGTTAAAACAAAACAGCTAAATAATCATAAATAAGATGATATTCTAAGTGCTTTCTGAGAGAAGAACTGCTTATTTACTGTTAACTAATACTGTTAAACAACCAGAATTTTATAGCACTGACTAGGACTCCCTAATCAAGCCCTTCAGTTATTAGCAGTTGCGTACCTATTACAGCTGAGCGATCAGATCTGCCAATCTCATGACCGATGGAATGGAGGTTCGAGCCCCGGAGTGGACACCAAATTATTTCCTCCATTCCCTTTAACACACGATGAGTTTCCATACCCCAATTTGTTAGCGTGAGTTATTAGAATACGATACTCTCATTCACGCATACACTACCCTACAATAAAAAGGAAGCACTTTCTACTTTTAATTGTTTTTATAAATTTCCCAAGAAAGACTTAACCAAACAGGTTTTAATAATGCCAGAAAATATTGAAAAAATGTAGAAATAACAAAGTGATCAAATAAAAATAAGCAATTAAACTAGAAGTCCAAAGCAATTAAACAATTAGAACAATTAGAAAAAAACAAGGCATTCCTAGCAATGGAGAAGATAATGAATTTAAATTTATAAACTTATCTGATTCTGCAGTCTCAGAATTTGATGAAGTTCAGTGTGTTGGCTTTAAAGAATAGTAGAACACCACAACCAAAAATTGCGAGTATATAAGATGCGTAAGGTGCTTCCATGACGCACGTACAAGCGTTCAAAACTTTTGCCAAAAATATGGTAAAATGTTTTCCGAGAGCGAAAGATCAAATCAAATTATTAGATTTGTTTATTCGATATATTTAATTTATTTCTCATGATAAAATGTATTCTTTTCCATTAATTGTTATCTACACATGGTTAACTGCATGACATGCGTTATTTTCTACATTTCTTTTTCCTTTACTGTACTAGATAACCGATTTTCCTCCACATTAAGGCTACTTGCAGGTTCCTTATCAAACAAGTGTTTTTTAAAATTTTGTTATGAATTTGTAATTATTTTTTGCTCAACATGGATAAGAATTTAAAATATACATTATTATTTCTTGTATTTTACTTTTAATACTGTTTTCGATTTAAAAAGAAGACTATGGAAATCTATTCTGAACAGTAAAAAATTCCGGATCACAAAACTTTATAAGTTACCGGCACATTCGGTGAATCATCCGTAAAATCTATTTTACCGTAGAATATTACACCGTAATTTTTACAGTAATATTTATTTAATTAGAGAGATTCTATGATTTTACGTTAATTATTTCAATAAAATTCAACGCTTATCACTTATTTTGAACCCTAACATGTTTCGAAAAAAATTGAATTTTATGATAAAAAGGATCGGCATCCAGTGTGACAGTGCTTGTAACCGTAATTTCGTTCGAATTTTTTACAGTGTAGACCTTACCACAATAGTTATAAGCAACGAATTCACTAATATAAAATACCATGTTTCGTCTGCTGAAACCACTGCTTTTTCATTTTGACCGAGCAGAAAAAGTAAATTTATATTTTTCTATTTTTAGTTTACCCACAGTTTTTTATTTGACATGATTAATAACATTTCAAATTATAGCTTTTATTACAAAAAAAAATCTCATTAAAATAGTCGTAAGAAAAAATTAAAAAAAAAACTGTCTTGCAACAAACAAATTTTACGCATTTCAAAAACTGCAGAAGGTGAGGTTACGTAAACACTTATCAAAGGATAACTTCTCAGAGAACTGTATTCAGTGTTAAATACATGGATACGCACAGCTGTACCAGAAATTGAAAGTTCGGTAAGAGTAAATTAAATTACCATAAATTTCTAAAACAGAATATCAAATCTCTTTTGAATACCAAAAATTTTTGAACACCCTTCCCCATACAAGTCTACCTAAAACAGGAAAGGCTCAATTAGTCAAGCCTCAATCTCTCATAACTTCTAAATTGCGAGTAGGGGAGAGTGGGGTCAATTGTAACAGGGTACGATTCTAACAGAGCAAAAATTTCGAGTGTCGGGTTCTAGATTTGGTTCCTAGGTAGCGCACAAGGTGTATTTAATAAATCTACTTGTACATCCCTGCTGGCAACCATTTTTATGTACTTTTGAAAGAGTTACATAACAAAAGATATTTTCACGCTACGTAAGTACTTTTTGGGTATTAGAATATGAAATTGGAACAAAGTAACTTTGTCTAAACAAATAAAAACTATTAAGCGAATAAATAAGTGGACACCTTAATTAAC